AACTTTATATAATAAGATATAAACAATACCAAAGAAAAAAAAACTAACCTGATGTAATTAATACCAAAATGCATAATTAAGTATAAAACTAAACGAAATAAAATAAAAGTACAGCAGAATAAAATGAAAACAAACATATACTCGAAGGATCTTGATTTGAAGTTGAACTTTTCTTTTACGTTTTCTGCTACACTCTTGCATACTTCGCATATTATGTAGTTAAGAAAGAAAAAATCCACAGTTAGTTTATTTTTAAACAATATATATATATATATAATATTAACGTTTTGGAAAAAAAATATTTAACTCACAATATACTTAGTCTGTTTGACCACAAATAATTTATTTACACATTTTAGTAAGTAAGGATTAATTACATTTTGCATAAACATTCAAGATTGATTAAGTTTTCATCGTCTAACTATATCATATATCGTAGTGGATTTTGAATATCCACTACGGTTTCTTCAGAAATAATAGAATTAATTATTTTTTTTGAAAAAAAATCTATTTTATTTTTGTATTTTTGTGTTATTAAACATGTAAAAAAAACAGAGTTATCAACCATACATGTGTTGAAATACTTTAAAAAAAAAAACGTTGCTTCTTATAATATTCCAATTATAATTGGGTAGGATGGGCTTAAGAACCTTGAAACCTTAACCGGGAAAATCGAAGTGAACCAATTTGATTTGGTTATAACTTAACCTAAAAATCCCTTTGGTCATTATTTTTATTAAATTTTGAACTTCTGATTTCTAATTCTAATTTTTCTTACCTTTTTTGCTTATAATTCACTCATGTTTTGCTTACAATTTACTTTTGTTTTGCTTAATTTTTCAAAATTAATTTTGAAGTATTTTAAAATAACTATTATCTGCTGAATTTCAAAACAAAATTATTTATCCTGAATAGCTTTTTTCTGTCAACAGCTGGATAATAACTCAAACAGCTCAGAAAATCCAAACCGGATGTATATAAAATTTCCACATAGTGGCAGAGCTAAAAACTTTTGCGAAATAATATATTAAATAAATATAATCAACAAGAGTAATAAAAAAATTATATGTTAACTAAATATAATCGACGAATTTAATTAAAATCATTTATGTTTCATTTCATATACAATATATATATATATATATATATTTTGCATATACATAAATATAAATAAATATATATATATAAATATATATATATATGAATTCATACATTAAAATTTGTAATCTATGAAAAATCTAAAATAAAAACTCAACTTCAAATAGATCTTGATATATGTGATAGTGTTGGTTTGTTGTTGTTAAAGATTTCAAAGAAAAAATCTTGTATATATGTGTTTCGTGAAAAATTATAACCTAATTACAGTAGATTGTTAAACAATTTTTTTGACAAAATAGTAGATTGTTTACTTAATCATGTGAAATATGAATAAGTACATTAACTTCTTTATAGTTACCTCTTAATTATTGACAAGAGTCCAAGTAAATTAACTTCTTTATAGTTTTTATGAGTTTTGATTGGTTTTGCATAGGGGTAAAAACTTATTTAAAATTGGGGTCAATATACATAATTATTCATAAATAACATATAATGAATTTCGTAAAAATTTTAGGTCAATTGATCCCCTATCATCTATCTACCTCGGCCCCTGTTTGGATAATGCGTTGACGTTTGTGTTAAACGTTTTTGCAATTTATTTAGTCTTTTTGTTTCATTTGAGTGTTTGCCAATGCGTTTGGTTTAAAAGTTTTTGGTTACGTTAGTGTTCTCGGCGAACATTTCCATTTTGCATTTTAACATTTAGTAGATTTATTATGTATATTTTACAATTTTTAGAGGCAACTAGGTTATTTACCACGCCTGGCATGCATGAGACAGACCATCGTTGTATTGTTGCTCTTCCGTTTAATTACTTAGATTTATCTTCATGATGCGTTATTACAAACCCAACATAACCTTTAGTCTTGGTTAATATTTACTTTCATAAATCCTCTGTATCACTATTGGTTCTTGTGTATTTGATCCTATATATTTTACCAAATTACCATAAACTTCACCTTACATTTTGTAGATTTATCGAGTTAAAGTTCGAGATATATAGTTTTTGACAAAGTTGTCGAGAATGAATTTGTCATCCAAAGATCAAGGATTCAAGTTTAACCTGTAATATTCTTTTATTTGCTACTAGTTATCAGAGGCCACAATCAGCTCCCCTCATTCTGGAGTAGTACGGATACAAATATGGGTGAAATCGTTAGTAGAAAGCTCAATCAGGATATGAGGATAATGAGTGAATGGCAGCTTCCGTAAGCCAGTACTTGACCAAAGCAAAACACTTATTCTTAGAAACAAGATACAGTAAAAACTCTATAAATTAATAATGTTAGAACTTTGATATTTTATTAATTTATAAAGTTATTAATTTATAATTTTAAATAATAAATATTTTTTATTTTTTATTAATTTTTAAAAAGATATTTTTTAAAAGATTCTAATTTATAAAATATTTTTTTCTAAAATGAAAGATGAGTTATAAGAAAACTTTAATTTAAAATAAATAAAAAAACATCAGTAAACTCATATTTTAGTAGATTATCTCACTTATATGTTTATATTAGATTTTATTTATGATAAATATTAATTTATAATACTATTAGGACCATATATTTATATATGAATTTTGTTAGATATATTATCTTATCGAATTATGTAATATTTTAAACCAGTTTAACTTGGAATTATGAAAAAATATTAATTTATAATGTTTATTAATTTATCGAGTATAAATTTATAGAGTTTCTATTATATATGAGTTGGTGTAGCAGTTGTTTTTTAGCTTGGAAACAATTCACGGAATATACATTAGAGATCACTCTCATCACAGCTTCACTAAAATTGCGTTACTGTCTTACTGAACATCTATTACCGAGGAGAGATTTTGGATGGCTCTAGACATAGCCAGTAATGGCGAATGCATGACCAACTCTACAAAAGAAATTCAACTTCTTGTGGAGAATCTAACAAGTATCTAGCAACAAAAACCAATGTCCAAACTAGTATAGGTCCAACACAAGATGTAGCACCATAAGCACACAAGATTGATGAGACAAATGCCAAGATTGATTAGCTTTAAAGAGAGATTAAAGGTCAGTTACTACAATGAGGACTATAGAGGAGCTCAAGGAGATCAGTGTTAACAAAAGTGTAATGGAAATTGTTATGAAGTGTAACAAGTAGGATCAGTGGAGATCAGGTGAACTAATTAATTAATAGAGATGAACTTCATTGGGGATCAACAAACCTAAACATACTTTTCGACGTTCTATAAAAACTCAAACTGATGATCAATGGTCATATAAAAAATATTACATATGAACGAAATAAATATCAGATAAGAGGTAGAGTTGGCAATCTTTGCAATGGATCCAGAAATAGCTACATGACTTTGTGGGATGATTGTTGGATTTTAACAAAGGTTTTAATGTGGAAAAGATCTCTAGAGGTCAGTCTGTAAGGTATTCAATTGTATTAGTTACTCTTTCTTAGAACATAATCAATATGGGTGGCATGATACCATCTAAATATCATCAACGACAATAGTTTATAGGGAATCAAACAAAAGAAGAATCTAACCTGGATGAACAATCACTAAAACTTGGAGGAAATGCAGCTTAATGAATACAATTTTTGCATGGGAATGGAGTCAACTACAAATTATAAACAGATTACATTTAGATCTTTGATAAGCTACATGGGATCTTGAGGTCCTCTTCAAACCGAAATCCTCTCTCAACCATTTTTTCTAATTCCATCTAGTGTCATGACAGTTGACTTCTTCTATCTTTGTCAATAGTGTTTTTTGTTTCTTATAAAATACGGAAAAACTACTTACGATGAAGGATTGGCAAAGTAGACCACTATCACGTTTGCTCAGGCCAAATCTACAACTAAATCATAGAAACCATACCGTAGGTGAGATGACACAAGATCGTCTGGTTCAGAAGAAGGATTTTGAAAAAACACTTACATGGATGTTCCTCCAAATCAGTGTCCTATTCAAGATCGACTTATCTCTTGGGACATCCAAATCGATCCTCCTTGCCTGCTTTGCAATCGGAATCCAGGAAGCGGAGATCACTATATTTTGCATGTGACTTCTCTTGAGCGGTCTGAATTGAGCTCTCCATGAAATTACGGTTTTCAGTGATTTGGAATACTCTTCTAGACATTTCATCTCCCTCCAAGGCAACAATCACATCAAATATATTACTCTTTCTTGATTGACAAGCAACCAATCATCTTCGAACACTTAACACATATGTCTCGTCAAACTATGTTATAAATAACGAAAAAGTCATCAAAAAGGTTAAACAGCCCTTTTTGATCCTATAATCCTCGAGCTGCCAGCAAAACCATACAATTATGGATTTATGGTTCTTTCTGCTCTGGATTTTCAGTTGTTGCTTTGGTTCTAACGTTCATTCATGTCACCTCTATTTCCATATAGATCACTATCATAATGGGCTTCTCCTTTTCTTTTGGTTTGTATTAGTTCTTTGTGGACATCATTTCTACTTATTCAGATGGACTCTAATGATCTTTAAAAAAAAAATTATTTGAATTATTAAAAAAGGCTGGAAAATGATAATTTTCAACATTTTTAATCAAAATCTTTAGCGCCAATCAAAGTTTTTATTCTCATGTATAAAGTTTTTTGTTCACAAGTTTAGCCGGGTCCTACTCCTGTCCTAACTCTTTACTCTTTAGTTTCCGCGTAGATTCGAGATTGTGACATGTTTCTTTTGTGTATCACGGAATCAAAACGGAGCGTTCCGGTTGCTTTCTTCTTTCGGAGTAATTGTATTTGCTCAACTGTTTCCAACTTTATATTCAGACAAAACCTACTTGAAGCCAAATCTTCTATAAATTTATAAGCATGATTGGTTATTTATGCGTAAATTTGGATATAGAGCTTTGTGAAAGTAAAATAAGGAAACTAATAATGAACAAAAGATAGTATTTAAAAAGAATTGTATAACCTAAGCTCTTCTCATAGATCAAATACAAATGTCTAAAGAAAACAATGCTACGAAACTAACAAATCCAAATGAAAGAAAAAATTCAAAAAAAGAAAAAGAAAATGAAATAGAAAAATACAAATGATAAAAGGTAAAATTTCTTCTATACAACAAACAACTCTTTTTTTATCCTCCGTTTATTTATTTTTCACCAAATAAATTTTCTAAAGAATCTCGAATTGCGCGTATGCTTTGTAAGAATTGACAAACCGACATCGTATCGCGTTTTAGGGTTCGTGCCACGTCATCGTTTCGGTGACAAGTTTTCTCAAAAGAATCAATAGAACGGCGGTGGTGGAGGAGAAGCATATGATACTCCGATGACCGGCGGCAATGGTCCCTCATATTCAGGGGACGGTGGTGGTGGGCTGTGGTGTATCACCGCAGGTGGTGGCGGAGAACTATGATGGACTGGAGGTGGCGGCGGTGAGCTGTAATGGACTTGCGGTGGTGGCGGCGGTGAGCTGTAATGGACTTGCGGTGGTGGCGGCAATGAGCTGTAATGAACCGGCGGTGGAGGGGGTGAATTGTAATAGACTTGTGGTGGCGGTGGAGAGTTGTAATGGAGTGGTGGAGGCGGTGAGCTATAA